CGCACGACGTGCAGCGCGGCGCGGCCGCCGAACGACCCGTCGTCGCTGCGGACCGAGTCTGAGCGGCGGCGCAACTCGCCGCCCAAGCCGCTGCGGCGGCGGCGGCGGCGGCGCGGCGACGACGACCTGGACTGGGACGCCATGGAGTCGGTGCCCATCGTGCGGCCGGACGCGCCGCCGGAGTCCGGCGAGGACTACTGGGTCGACGCGGACGAGCTGCTCGAGCCCAGCGCCGCGCCCAAGCCGGCCCCCGCCAAGCCGCTCGACGAGGCCGTCAAGCAGCGCCTGCGCCAGGAGGTCGTCAGCCCGTACGAGAACAACTGGATCCTTTGGGTCGTCGCCGTCGTCGCCGTCCTCGTCCTGCTCGTCAAGGTCTTCGGAGGCCTTGATACACTACCCATTATCTCAGTCCCCGACTTGTAGGCGGGGAGCGTGTCGTAGCGCCAGGTGTTGCTCTTCGCGGCTACCATGTCGTTGTTGCCTTGGGAGAGCGCAAAGGGACTCTCTGTGTGGGCCACACCAGCACTTACTCAACACGCGACTCACGCAGCATGGCGGCGATGGCGACCCAGGCGCCGGCGGGCGTGGCGTCGCTTTGTACTCGTTGTATCGCATGGTGATGTCGTAGCGCATGGCGAGGTCGTAGCGCGTCGCGATGGCCTATACGCTATCGCCGTAAAGACCATGATCCAATTCTACTTACCTTGACTGAATTCAGCCCACTGTAAGCCACATGTCCCAGTGTCAGAGCGTGCCCACGCATGCAATTGGAGCCTTACAGACGGCCCCCTGTGACATGTTCCCCTTTGCTCCGCCACACTCGACCCCTTCTGTCCTTGGTCCCTCGTCACTCTTCGCCGCGCCCCTCCCGCTTGCTCGCTCTGCTGCTCCTCACCTCTCACCCCACGCTGCGAGCGTCGAAGAAACAACCCCGCCAACCGCTCAATTCTTTGCGCCAACCTATTAGGGCCTGTCTCTCTCTCTCTCTTCGTCACAGAACCATGAAGATTGTCTCGCTCATGGTGCTGCGCGCACTCGACGCAGAACCCGACGCTAACATCTTGGCCTCGGCCTACTTCCTCGACAACTTTGGCTACTTTCAACGGGAACCGTACGTCCACTTTGCACCCTCTCCACGCCTTCCTATTCCCCTTCGCGCGGAGCCCGTCTTTCTAACCCTCTCCTGAGAACCCCCCCCCCGCCCCCTCTCCCACGCCTCCTTCCACATTTTCTGCGCGCAGCGTCAAGCAATTCGCCACCTTCGTCTCGAAGACCGTAGCGAAGCGCGTCGAGCTAGGGCAGCGGAGCTCAATAGAGCACGAGAGCCACCTGGTCCACGTCCACGTCCGGTCGAACGGGCTGGCCGCCGTGGCGGTATGCGACGCCGAGTACCCGTCGCGCGTCGCCTTCACGCTCCTCATGAAGGTGCAGGAGGACTTCATGACCGCCCACGCAGACGCCACATGGCTCGCCGCCACCGACGAACTCCCCTTCCCACCGCTTGACGACATGATTCGAAAGTATCAGGACCCGCACGAGGCCGACGCCATCATGAAGATACAGAAGGATTTAGACGATACCAAGATCATACTGCACAAGACTATTGACTCTGTCCTGGAAAGGGGCGTTAAGCTAGATAACCTCGTCGAGAAGAGTACCGACCTTTCCGCCCAATCGAAAATGTACGTTGTTTGCCGTCTTAGGGAGCTGGTGAGCGGGAGGAGGGGCCGTGCGGTTTCACGCCGTGCGCGACCGTGCATGCAGTGCTGACTAGCTGTCGTTTTGTTCCTGTCTCGTTATGACATGCCCGCTATTTGCGGTATCGTTGCGCCATGCGCGTCTTGACTGATCGCGTACAAAGGTTTTATAAGGTATGTGCACGCCAGTGTCTCGCACCCAAAACGACCGCGACTCGCTTGAGGGTAACGTCTACAGTTCGCACAGAAATTCTAACGCACCGATGTTGGACTGGGGCTTCAATATGATTGCGTCTTTGTCACAACCACCTTTTTTTTCCTGTCACTTGCGTGCGCATTTACACAGACTGCGAAGAAGCAGAACAGTTGTTGTAGTATGATGTGACGGGGATAGCGTTTAGGTTTTTCTTATGTCGCCGGAAGGGCAAGCGCTAGAACGTGGACAACGTTTTTGTCTAACTTAGATTTTTGAACTGTCTTCCGCACTTTGGCCAGCGAGACAAAAATAAACCTGTCAGAGCCGCTCGATCTCTCTTCGTCGTAGACGTGCGAGTACAGGAAGTGGCCATACGAGGGGAGGCTTGCTAAGCAATAAGGTGACAACGTAGCGAAGCAAGCCGAGGACACGCGCCGGGCACTGCCATCGTCGTCATAAGTGTGGCAGCCAGAGGCAGTTTAGAGCGGCGCATCTGTCACACTTGACTGCAGAAGAGTTACAGTATCGCCGTGATGTGGAGCTCCCTGAGGGCGCGGCATTGGACAAGTGTGGACTTCAGTGAGGCTGTCCACGGTCCAGAGTCCTGGAACGGTGGATCGCCTCAGACCTGTTCGCGTATCGCTGTCCAGTGAAGAGTTGGTGACTTCGAGCAAGGCGATGAACGAGACGTGGCGGGTCGTGCTGCATCGGGGATGAGACGCAACGAGATAACTGTCGGACACTGTTGCGAACACTGTTGCGAACACTATTCACTGAACAGTGGCAACATAGGTCATTCCAATTCCACTGGGACTACATATTTAACGTCCATTTCGATGGTTGTATCCCGCTGGTACTACCGTAAATTGCTTGCCCAACAAAATTTAGGAATGTATGAGCCATTGACAGAGCGACATATTGGTCAGATTAGCGTGGTCGCGGGACGATGACGGCAGTGGTGCCTCTGCGGACAGGACTGAAGGAAGAGCAGACGATACACTGCGAGGCCTCGAGAGGCATTCATGCACTCTTCAAAGAGAAAGGGTGCGGGGGCGGGGGTACAGATGGTTGTGCTGTAAACAAGCGGCGACCGTTCATGCGCACAACCTTCCGCCCGTCCTGCCAACTTCAGATTTACACAGTAGAGGATAGTGAAGACAGTTAGTGAAGGCATAAACTTTACTGTATTGCTTGGCGAAAACAGTTGCGATGTAGGAAACCCGTTTTAATCGCTATAGTTACCTCGGTAACTCGTCCATTTTATGGCGGCTGCCGTACGTGGCTGTATGTGTAAATTGGGCTTTAATCTAAACCGTGGTGGCGTAACGATGACATCGCAACATGTTGTACGCCACCACGCAGGAGCAGAGATGATGGAAGGTGGTGGGTTTAGCAATGTAATGTACAGTAGTGCAATGATAACTTTTCTCAAACCCGAAAGCAAGAAAGCGACGGTACAACTGCGCCATTGCTCTGCGTCAGGAATCGATAAACTGCAGAGAAGTGTACAGATCGGGGTGATCAGCTTTGCTGAACTGCGCGTGGAGATACAAAATGGATAGGGCCAGCTATTTTGGGAGGCCTCCACATGTTGTTCTACTATAGCTCGGTTTCAAAAGGCTGATTTCAAGCTCAACGAGTATTTTCCCTCGTGCAAAAGTAAATGTCAATCAGAACGGGCGCCGGCTTATAATCCGGTCAAGCTTAATAAGCATATTCGATTTTCCCGGCGTACAAACGTGCCCGCGAAAGGGTTCCCCATCAGCCAGGTTTGGACTGCGGAATAAATAAGAATAAGCGCCGGAAATAGAACTTTGTGTACGTATGAAGGGGTGAATGGAACGATTGAATTCCATCTGATATTAAAGTGTTTTAAAAATGTCTATAAAAAGTTTAGATAGAGCATAAGCAATCATGTAAGAACAAGTGAAGAAGGATAACGTAATTTGCAGGGCAAATGTCGGACAGAGGTTGCGCGCGTAGCGACGTGGGCTCGAATCTTGATGGTGTGCTAGTGGGTTTCGCCGCGAACCCGGGGGGAGTCGTTTTGAAATTTTAGATGCAATAGTGGACTGGTGTTGCACTGTACTGCTACTGCGGTGTCCAGGTCGCAGTCGAACGACGGAAGAGGGTGTCCACTGCGCAAAGAAATTTGTGAAGGCAGCTGGGCAGCGCGGGTCGCGCAGTGCAATCCCGATGGTGGGCGGGGGCGGGCAGGATAGGGAGGGGATGGTACGTAGCAGTGGCTGGACGAAAGGGGCGGGCGGGGGTGAGGGGGGCGGGAAGGGTGAGACGGGGCGGCGGGAAGGTAATGGTCCCGAGAGGAGAGGGCAGTCGGTATGAGCGGGGCGAGTATGAGGTAATAGTGATAGATGGCCGGAGGAGAATTGACGCGTCGTGTAATGCCGGCCACCCATTGGCAACCACAGCCGCATGTCATTGGATAACGCACCAGGGCGTGCTGTATGCCCTCCGCTCTCTGCGCGTTGGTCTTTTATTGCCGCTAGACAAGTGTGGTCTTCTCGCGGCGTGCCGCACAGAACCCCCCGCGCCGCCCTCCCTGAGGACTCTCCGTTCTCCTCGTCCGCCTTCTTATGAAACCGCCGCACTGCATGTGGACATGGAACATTGACACCGCTCCACATCCCGCAGCCTTCGTCATGTGCTGAGTTCAGCCTACTTCACATGTTACATGAGATCGCAAGCGTAATTGATACAGTACCCAAGGGTACAGTACATCGTAGGAAGACAAATGCAGGAGTCCCATTCCTACCAGAATCCGAGTCGCATTTTTCATTTTCCCTGCAGCTGCACATATTCAAAGTTTTATGCAGCGTGCTTGAACGCCCTCCACGAGACAGTGAACAGAAACACTGTTTCGTAGTGTGTTGCGGCAAAAATGACAAGCATCAGGCAACACACCAAGGAAATTCGACAAAGCCACATCACACATGCCCGCATATATGAAAGTGAAGCCCGTGTAGCTCTAACTGTATTCCACAAAATGCCTTCCGGTCCCGATCGCCCGACCAGAGCCGACCCTTTTCACTGTATGCAGAAAATGTGCCCTCCCGCACTGGCCAGCCATACTGTAGTACACACAATCGCGCCGATTCAACGAAATCATTCAGTGCTGTATAAGTCCATGGGGCCTTGACGGTTAGTCGCGAGACCCCTCGATAATTGTACAGGGAGGGTTCTCTCCTAAAAAAAAAAGCAAGGGATAAACAGCGCCTTCACTTCTACGATGGCGATGCGGGCTTGGGTTGCCACCAACTTGTGTAAACTTGATATTTCGAACGGGCTTCGCACGATGGGGGGGTGAATGAGCGCGGAGAATGGCACGCAACAGCGGCAACTTTCAATTTCGATCGCGGCTCAAACGGCGACGGCCCGTGGCCGGCCAAAGGTGCTGAGGCGCAGGTCAAGGGGGCGGTGCCGGTGCGTAAGGCGGCAGCTTCTGTCGTGGCGGGCGCTTCGACGCTGGTGGGGCTGGTGGAAGCCAAAGACTCGCGATCAGACGGAATTGAGCGCCGGGTGGAAAACGATGTTTGCTTTGAATATCTTTGTTACGCGAGCTTGGAATCCATAGAAACGGGCACGTAAGTCTATTTGGAATAATCAAATCATGTCGTTTAGTCGCCATTCGCTAAAAGGGCGAGCAAAGTCCTGACTTACACGGCACCACCATACGTGGCGAACTCAACCCGCCCTTCGCGGAGACCCCCTGCCCGTCGCCCGCCCTTTACAATCGTAATGAGCATGGACAGGTCCTCCCTATCACTCTCCCCCGTCAACACGTCCCGCGCTGAATACTGGCTCTGTCGCCCGGGACGAAATGCCCCTTGACAGGCATACTGTTGCACTGGTATCAACCACACCCTCTGTACGGAATCCTTCTTGCCCCCCCCCCCCCCCCCCCCCTTCCTCCCCCCCGCCCTGCCCTCCTCCCCCAACCCACCACTACTCTCACTTTCCCGTTGTTGTCTCAACGTAGCCCTCCCACACCTAGACACCCCCCCCCCTACTTCCTGCCTGCCTACACCATTATTCCTTGAGCGTCCACTTTCTTTCCTCTCCTTTCTTTATCCCTCTCCTTGTCCGCTTCCCACAACTCTCCTGCCCACATCCGCCGGCGAGATGTCTTCCCCGTCCGCTTCACCACGCGGCTCGGACATTTCCTTCTCCTCCGTCCATAGCACCCTCTCCAATTCCTCCCCGTCGAAACACCCACCCGTCTCTCTCACAGCTGACTCGCCTCCATGCGTCTCGACCTCCACGATATCCCGCTCCTCTGCGTCCGCTTCCTCGACCAGCTCAACCTGCCCGACATCACCTGTTTCGCCTGTCGCCACGTTTGCACATAGCATCTCGTCTCATCTGCTGGAACCCATCTCATCCTCCGGCCTTCCGAAAGCTCGCGTCTTTGTGGAACGACGACCACAAACGGCAGCTGACTCATCCGCTGACCGCCCTCGCGCCAATTCTGCTCATCCACGCCGTCTGCCGGGCTCATACCGTCCTCAATTGGCTATCAACACTGTCCAGAGCACCCATGCTAGGCGAGATCCTCGATGTGTTTCGGATTTGCATGAGGCCTTTCGCGCAAGGCGGGGTGCTGCGTGGGAGCCAGTAACTTCATCTCTCCAAAGCGACGAGCCCCCCGTGTTGCGCGACGCAGAGACACTATCAGAGGAAGCTCGCGGATATCTGAGCGAGGACGATGCGTCTGTCCCGAGCTGGCTTCCCGAGGATGAGAGACGGGACTGGACTTCAAGTGAGACGATCGAACCAGAGGTCGACTTTGAAGACGAGGAGGAGACGCCTTCTCGTCATGATCCGTGCGAAGAAGAGGCGGTTGCAGCGAAAAAATGGATAGGAAGTTTGCGAAATCTCAGTCACCTTGGGAGACGCGGTTCAAAGAAGGAAAATTTGCCTATGCGAGGCAGCATTTTAGATATTCGGCCACCGACAGTGAGGGAGCGCTTCGGAGTGCGAAGCAAAAGGAGGAAAGGACGTGACTTTTGGGGTGAGAGAGAATGCAACAAAGAGGACCGAGCTGACGAGTATGTTGGGTTTTTGCTCAAGGCAGATGTGAGACAGGAAAAGAAGGTCAAAAAGGTCCACTCGTGGCTACGGGTTTTCCGACGGTCCCAGTAATGTCGGTGAATAGCCCCCACACTACATGACATTTTTTTTGTTTATACCTTCGCAAGAATAATTGTTTTGCAAGCCACAACGCCTCCCATATGCATTAAGAGAGAAGGAAGTTTCGCTTTTCACGGACATGAGAACGCTACGCATTTCGGAATCTCTTGCCGTCATCTGTGTTTGCACTAGAGGATACACTCTTTCCATACGCTAAAAGAAACACTTTCCTCTTCCACATTTCGAGTCAAAAGATGACGACACGACCATAGCCGCTACATAGCCACAGAGGCATCCCTGTATTACGAGTTATCATGCACAGGAAGTGAGTGAGGACATGCCCTGAGCACTGTGCCGGGAGTTGGACAAAACTGCGAGGTAATGGCTGTAACGAACGGACGAGAAAGCAGAGGCCACATTGAGGGTTGGGATGTGAATGTATGAAATGTGGGAATGTGGCGTTCTCAGCGCCTCCCGAACTGTGGTAGAGGAAGGGACGTCACAGGTAGTAACGTGCGTGTGAATGCCTTGTGTCCTCCACACGTTGTCCAAAGCAGAGTTGCCCATTTCCATGTGAAATGTGCGTAATGCTTTGAAGGGGTGGGGGGCAAAGAGAAACCAATACAGTAGCAAGGTGTTACCCCAGGTGTATTCCAGTCGTGCGAGAATGTTTGAATGAATATGAATATGACATTGTATCACTTTGCGGTGTGTCTTGCAGATAGTGTCAATCATAAACAAGCAGGACAGACGAGCTGTAATGTATGGCACACTATTGGTCGAAGCGTTGTCCACTTTGCGGTTTCCTTGGAGAGATTTAATTCAATCTCAATCGCATATCCTTAAACCACGTTAGCGTCAAATGGTAGGACGTACAGTAGTTGCGTTGCAGGTAGAGCCCTTGGAAGGAGAAAGTGCTCTACTGCCCTGACGTGTTCCTCGTCGCTATCTCACGCTATGACGTTTGGCAGAGAAAAGTATCTTGTATTGTGATGGATAAAGAATTGGCTATCGTAATCTCAACGTTGCGCCTCCCTCGTGAGGTATCGGCGAGAGGAGAAACAGGTCTCCGTAGCGACCAACCAAACACGGTTCAACAGTGTGACTGTGCTGCACAATACGTGCCATGCGCAGCGGGTCAGGAGTGAAATCTCTGCACCACTTATTTTCGTTGTAGTTGACAGAGCATCTACACCAAGGGCCAATGAGGTGCCCCAATTGTAAAAGAGATGAATTTGCCCTCGAGTCAAGTTTTTTAAAATACCGTGTGATTGTGTTTGGGCAACAGTGATGTGCAAGCATTGATGGGCATGTGTTTCCCCTCAGTTCTACTATATGCCTCAAACTTGTGGCATGACAAGCGAAGCCGATTCACTGCAAAAGGAGTCCACACACAGCTGTGGGAAGATTGGATTACTGTCGTCTTCGTTGAATGATGAAGCTTCGCGGACCGAGCGTGCCGTGCCAAGTCTCAGTGCTTAGGAGAGGAAGCTTGGATTGTATTGATCTCCGGAAGATTTATAGAAGAAAAAGTCATCGGACAACAGAGTTTAGAAAGCTGAACCTTTGTGCTGGTACTGTAGTATAAAAACTCATGGGCATCGACAGGACAGTAGCGAGACAGATTTATGTCCCGTACATGTCAATGTGTGAGAAGAAACTTTTGTTTTGTTTATGGATGTACTGTACGTATTCGGACTGTGTCTTCCCTTTTCATTGTACTGTAGAACAACTCTTGACTGTCACGAAATCGAAGGCATTCAGTTGTATAATTAAATTTACTCTCCTTGAGCCCGGGAGGTAACTTAAACGTTTAACAGATCCGTAACCTCTCTGACATTACAGTACACTACAGTACCCTTCTCCTTGTAGTGGAAGGTTCCTCTTCTTGCAGAATATGGGGCCCGAGAAACAAGGCGCTTCCCTTCCAACTAAGGATGCTCGCAAGGATTGCCCTTCGAAGGGTAGCTAGAGAATTAGAGAAGGGGTCTGTCTATCGGAGACCGTCGGAAAGCATCAAGCCGGCAGACTCCTAGGACAAAAAGGCCTCAGCAGCTGCCCAGGAGTTCCCCCCTCTCTGCGGATACAACACCAGGACAGCAGGGCAGAAATGGCCTGCCGTCAGGGTGTCGTATCTGCAGGACACAAAAATGGTTGGCTATATGCAAAACTATGATGCAAATGATTGGCCTATTTTCATTTCTGCACAAGCGATTGAGCAGTTGTACTTGCTGCAAATCTTCTGATTAAATTCTCCAATGCTTTGCCTTGGTGCCCCATTGCTGAAACCGTTGCTAGGACAGCCGGCAACACAACAGTGACGTGAAGCTCTTCGAGCGTTTCCCTGTGTCTGCCCACGGCGTATACTTTCTCAAGCCCTGTCGCCGACGCTGTAGACTCGGCATACATCATCCCTCCCACTCTTAACACCGCAATGCAGCGTCCTTCCGGTCTAGTTGTTCAAAAACAACTATGCCCCTCCTTGACGTACCACTTGCCCCCATCTTGACACCTTAGACAGACAACTACAGCCACTTTTTGCAGCTCACCAAGCTTTTCCTCATTGTCCTTGTCCTCTCCCCTTTTGCCAACACAGACCATCGTCATGCTCGCCTCCGTCCCCGCTCCATTCCGCACCCCCGCCCTCCCTAAGCACCGGCCGTCCTCTTCCCTTGACCTAGATTCCCCCTTCTCCTCCATCTCCAGTCCCCACCTCTCCCTTCAACACTCCTCGCGCCTCATCGATCGCCACTCGATTATCTCAGTCAAAAACAAGCGCATCCCTCCACCGTCGTACCGCACCGGCATCATCCAAGACAACAGGCGTGCCCCGTACGAGTACCCTCTCCCTCTCCCTCCCGTTCCCCAACAGGACCCCTGGTCAAGCAGCGATCGCCACGCAGCCTCGCTCTCCAGTCGGAATAGCCTTTTGCGCCCCCGCAATCAATGCGCTCCAGTGACGGGCTTCTCACGAAGGGCAGAACCGCATGCACTCGCCGACTTACACAGTGGAAGGAGTGGATTTGAGGTTGGTGGGGATCAAAGGAAGATAATTTCGATGCAACATGATATGAGAAAGCTTGTTACCGAGGTCGGGACAATTATGGAGTGGGAGAAGAACAGCAAGAACGCTCTTGAAGAGGAATATTCGGAAGCGTCTGACGAGGAGGGAGACGTCGGTGTCGGGCTCATAATGAGCCAGAGAAGCGAGAGCGTACTGAAGCGCTTGATGAGACGCAAGGATCGCGTAGTGCAGGATGATGGCCTGCCGCTGAGGGGGAGCATTCTATGTGTGAAGCCACCAACAATAAAGGAGAGGCTTGGTTTTGGGGGTGGGTTTGTGCAGGAGCGACAGAGTGGGGATCCGGGCAGAGGGAAGAGACGCTGGTTTATGATAAGCATGTTCCGCAGGAATAGGTATGAGGGGTGAGCTTGAGCATATACACTCTTGGTTCTCATTGGGGGTCGCGCTCATCTGGACTGGGGCAGCTGGTCGAGTAACCGAAAACGTTCTCCAGCTCTGTGTTCCCTTCCTCTTTGTAATCGCGCTTATCACTAAACGTCTGGATGTTCAATATTGCTCCATACCTAGGGTGCAGAGTTACCCAAAATATTGTTTGGTGCAGTACCGTATTTAATCCTCCTGGATGTTAGGTTACTTTCCAGTCAAAACGTTATCGCGGAAACGCAGAAAGCCTCTATCTACAGCACAGTACAACCGAAGCAAAGGGTCGCTCAGAGATGGCCGATACTCACTCGCCATTCTGTCGTTGCAACATTTAAAACGCTGCAGTTCGAACAGGGTACCGATCGTAGCGGTCTTGGTTTTGTCTACAATGTCTCAACGCTTGGCAGCAGTTAGAATAATGTGTGATATGTAGACCGTCCTTGCGTTTGCACACTTACCTGGGAAAACTTGAAAAACGAAAACAGGAGCTCTCTTGGATCTCCTCGTAGCCGGTGAAAGGGTTACATAAATATATCAAATAGCTTTCCGGCGACTTGTATTTCAGGTGACAAGGCTCTCCTCATCGATCGCCTCTGGGTTGCCCGGGACGTCCTGCAAACATTCCCAAACGGCCGAGTTGCATTTAAAGCCCGAACCGAAAGCGATTTGCCAGATGCGATGCCCACGTCGCATGCGGCCGTCATTTTCGACAAACTTCAGCTCGTACCACACCGACGCCGAAGACGTGTTCCCATACCGGTTGAGTGTGTACCGACTAGGCTGGATGTCGTGGTCGGTGAGTTTAAGCGCGTCTTGCATGACGTCAATGACAGCCCTTCCGCCTGTGTGGATGCAGAAGTGATCAAAAGCGCGATGGAAATCTGGGATGTACGGATGCAAGTTCGGCACATGCAGCACCTTCTTACGCAGCAGATGAAACGCAAACTTGATATGTTCCGTCAGTGGAAAGACGAGCGGCGCCAGGGTAGTTACGTTCTTCTTGAGTGCTCCGCCAGCCACATCCATTATATTTTTGGACAGTTTGACGCCGCGGATGCCGCACTTGTCCTCCATTTGAAAAATGGAATCGTATGCAAGATCGTCCGCGCCGACATGCGTTCTGACAGTGTGCTTGAGTACGTATCGTGCGCGGCTGCGGTTCGCGGGGTTGTTCGATAACAAAACGGCCGAGGCGCCCATACGGAAGAGCGTGTTCGTGATTAGCATGGACCTCTCCTTCCCCAGATACCAATTCTGTGTGATATTCTCTGTTGAGACAACGACACAAAGGGCCTTGCGATGCACTTGCAGCAGATCCTTTGCTAAATCCAGGGCGATCAGTCCTGCAGAGCAACCCATGCCTGCGAGATTATATGTGCGCACGGAGCTACGCATCTTGTACTTGTTGACGAGCATGGCAGAGAGGCTAGGTGTCGGATTGAAGAGGGAACAGTTGAGGACGAGTAGATCGATCGCCTGAGGGTCAAGGTTGTTGCGCAAAAAGAGGGCATCGAGAGCGCCGAAGAGGACGAGCTCGGCCTCCTCGCGCGCAAAGTGCATGTTGCAAACGGCGCGCTCGTCACCATTATTCTCCGGAATCGAGTGGCAGTGATCGAGAATGCTGCTTGGAAAGGCGCTCTTGTTACCGATACCACTACGACTGAGGACTTTCTTTTGAAAATTAGCAGACTCTTCATCAAATTTCTTCGGGGCTAGCGTGGTCTCCATAAAGCGATCGACGGAGACGTAATACCTCTCTGGGGGCTGAAAAGTCTCGAAGTCTAAGAGGTATACCGGGCGGGGCTTACGGACTCCATACGCTAAACCAAGCACGGCGATGATAGTCAAGATTACAATAAGCTCCCAAAAGTTTGCGCGGAGGACGTTATCGGCTAGCACAACAATCTGTTCCCGCTTTGAGTAAGCATCCGGAAGCAAAGCGGTAAGGAGGATGAGGCAGACAGCGCCGACGATGCGCTTCGATGAGAAGGGGTCCCATATGTTGTACCCGCGACGAACGTCTGCGAATGAGTAGGACCGGGCTTGGGGATCCGTGGCGTAGAGACGGCGGACGCGTTCCCAGGCGAGGCGGGTTGACTCAGCCAAGCTGTAGAGCGTGGAGCCGTTCTCGTGGGGATGGTCAGGAGCTGCGCGGCGGCGCCGCATGGAGGGCTCCGTGGTGGGGGCGGACATCGCTGATGGGAGATGGGTGTCGTGGGTGCGGCGCGGGTCGGGTGTGATGACGGTGGCGGGGGATGGGCTGCGTTGCGGCGGGGGACGGGCCCGGCCAAGGTGTTGAATAGGTAAAGGGAGACTGTGGAAAATTTTTGGACGAATTGCCGCCGAGTGTGCGCACTGCGTACAAAACCAATACGGTGGCGCCATCATAAAGCCATACAGTAATGTATCCGGTAAGCTGTGAATTCACTGTTACGGAATCACATCTGATGCCTCCCCGGCATGACCCAATACGGGCACCCAACTTGGATACCTGAGACAAGACTAGTACATCTTGGCACTTTTAGCTAGCCTAACACTAACGACCGCGGCCGTCCCCGCTTGCTCGCCTGTTTCTGCAGTTTTTTCTTGAGCTCCAGATCCGCCGCCGACAGGATCGGCGTTGGGTAGAACACATTTCCGAATGCGTGCTCCTTGATGTACCCGTTACCCATTTCTTCATACTCCGCCTTGGTGATGCAAGCATCTTTGAACACTCTGCCTCCGGTTTCCGCGAATTTCGCGGCCCCGCGCCATGCGTCCAGCACGGGGTCCTTCGCAGTGCGCACCCCACTCACAATGCTGTCGCCCCAGTCAATGGGGAACGCCTTCCGCAGCTCGGCGCAGATGCGTCGCTTCAACCCGCTCGTGTTCGCTACTCCTCCAGTTAGGAATACCTCGCGCACGATTGACGACTTGCTCGACGTGCTCATCTGCAGCGCTTCCACAATTCCACACTGTTCCACTCCGGCTAACGTTGGTTGAAAAATCAGCTCCGGCGTACGTATCCGATCGACTGTCACGGGAAACTCGTCTGCGTACTTATTTTCCTCGTAGAGCAGTGCGGAACCCACCGGGATCGTCATCGTCGGGTCTACATCGTCAGGTGCCATGTCCATAATCTCCACACGCACAGCTTTCAAACGAGCACGCTCTTCTCCAGAGTTGTCGTCAGAATCCGTCCCATCGTTTCCAACCTTCATCGATCTGTATACATCCCAGTCCGCATCGTCCATCCCAAACGTGTCCTCCTCCACTTTCTTCTTCCCACGCCCTCTACCTCGTCCCCTCCCCCTGCCCCTCCCTCTTCCCTTCCCCCTTCCTCTCCCGCGCCCCTTTGAGTTCCCTCGCCCGGGGTCGTCGTCGAAACCCGCCTTGCTTCCTGCATGTTGTGCCAACAACCTCATTCGTTCCCTTGCAGCCTGCGACCGCCTATCCGATCCCGCTTCTCGCGCCGCGTCCCTTCGCTTTAAACGCTCAGCTAGCTCATCTCGCTCCGTTCGCAGTTTGGTCAGATACTCTTGTGGCCTCTCCGTGCGCATCTTCTCTATTTCCTCAGCCTTCCTCTCCGCTTCCGCCTTCGCCGCGAGCTTTGCCCTTTTCGCCCGTAGTCGTGCTTCCGCAGCCCCGCGCAGCGCTCGCACGTGCCGCTTTCGTTTGAGTTCCGGCGCGCTCAGCTCTGAGTCTGACATCGACAGAAGCTCGTCTTCCCGTACGCGCTTCCACCACGCCGCCTCCGCTGCCCTTGTCTTTCCTGCACTCAATTTTGCACGTTCCTCATCCACGAGCAGCTGTCGCTTGTCGATCTCTTCGTTCAGCGCTGTCGACGACTCCCACTGTCCGACGCACATGGCAATGTAGTACTTGTCCTCATCTATATCCCTCATATCTTCAATACGCTTGACATCGTATAGCTTTTTCATTGAATCGTACAAAGCCTCAACCTCCTCCGGCGTATACGATGTATCCTCCGGCTCTGCCTCTGTACCCGACACATCCTTATCCCTTGCACCTGCTCTTGACTTCCTTTTCTCCTGCATTAACTTATTCAACCTCCTCCCATTATCAATTCTCGCCTGCCTTGATCTCGCCTGCTCCTCCGCGCTCATCGCCGGCTTCTCACTCGCCTCCCCAGTTGGCACCTTGACTGTCTTCGATACTTCGTCAAAGTAATCTGGCTCCTCTCTAATTTTCTTCAACTCGGCATCATACTCCTCCGACACATAACACATCTTCTCCTTGAGGAGCTCGACCCTTCCAGTACTAAGCATGCTTGAATGCTCCGGGTGCAACAGCTGCAGTCGTCTGGTGAGTTGATCCGTCATTGTTGCACCCCCCACGTTGACCCTCTTGACCAAGTTGGGTTTGATCCTCCCTCCTACGACCGGGAGCACATGGGTCGCGTTATACCCGCATGATACCACCACGGCGTCCTCCCTCGCAAAGCGCATAGTCTCCTTCGGCGTTGCGCCCTCACCGGGCCTGTTATAGAAATAGCTAAACAGGGCGTCAATGCCAAAGCAGATGCCCGGGGCCTCATACGCCTCGAACAAGAGCTCCATGAGCAAGGCGCGGGCCGAATTGGGCTGGCACGGGGCCTCTGTCAGGACGAAGCGATGGTTGATGCGTTCCTCATCGGCGAGCCCCAAGGCTGCAAGCGAGCCGTCCAGCAGGCGCTCCATCAGAGCAGGGTTGTTGGGTATGGCGGAGTCGTAGGCTGGGCGGGCCGTGGAGCGGGCTGAGGAGATGAGGGCTTCGTGGCCGATGAGAAAGGTGCGCAGGCCAGTTTCCGGGTCGCGCATGCGGGCGACATACGGTGGGGTTTGCAAGATTGGCATGGAGGAGCCTGAGAAGCCGGCGCGCAAAGTGGACGACCCGAGGTCGAAGATGAGGGCTTGCGAGTTGAGATGGGAGGGCGTGGCGTGGTAGGCAGAGGGGACGGTGAAGGGGGGCGGAGGCGGGTCGATCAGATACACATCAGGGGGCGGGCGGTTGACTTCTTTTTGCTCGACCATGGTGAGGGGATGTGCGTGGTAGTTTTGGGCAAGTCGGCAGGGTCGGTTGCGCACGACTTCGGCATCTGTATGCGAAGAGAAAGGACAGGACGAAGCCTCCCTTGTCCTTTGGTGACTTCGGGAAACGAAACTCGGGGTCTTGCCTGCCACGTGTAACAAAAAGACTCGCGTGCTTTTTCATCGCTTGATCCGTCGTTACGCCACCGCCGTCGCCCTCACCTTCCAATGCAAACGTCTCCCCGATTTCACAACGGAAGAACATCACAACCGACGATGGGTGCCGCTGAAATGTCTGCCACCGTGCCCACTGTTCTTATCCGCCTCAAGTGCGGCGTGAACGACGTCTCCCTGCGTCCCGCGCACGGCGCCCAGCTCTCTGTCCCGCAGACATTGGGCCGCAAAGGCTTGCGCAACCTCGTCCTACACCTCCTGGACAACCCCGAGCCGCGTCCCAACTTGCATTTCTTGGCCGCCGACGAGCCGCTCCGCACCACACTCGCCAATTTTCTCACCAGTCGCAAGCTCTCCGCGGAGGCCACTCTCGACCTCACCTACTACTTGCCCCTGCCCTCACCGCGCCCCAACCAACCGCTACAGGCGTCTGAAGAGTGGCTGTCGGCCATCGATGCCGCCTCGGTCGCCGGAGAGGCCCAGCCTCTAGTCCTTGCTGCCTCGTATTCAGGCTGTCCCTCCGTCTTCCGCGGGGAGGAAACGGTTATCAGCGAGGACCAAGTGACCGCCGATGCGCACGTAGCGGCAATCAAGGGTGTGGCGTGGCTACCTGGTTGCGAAAACTTCGTGTCGGTGTCTAGCGACCAGACGGTCAAGCTATGGTCGTTGCGGGATGGCGCGGCTCACGGCGTGGCTCAATTCCGCTCGGAGGAGGCGGGGCCACCCGTCGCCTTCGAGTCGGTGGCGACGCAGGCTGGGATGTCGCCAGCGGTCGCCGTGGGTGGTGCGGACGGCTCGGTGTGGGTGATCGCTGACGCGCTGGCGCAACTCGAGGGGCGACCGCTGGCCGCCGTGGGCGGGAAGCGCAAAGCACCGGACGGGGTCGCGCTCACGGCGAGCAAGCTCGGGCTCACGTCGGTGGGCTTGTCCGTCAGCAGCGTGCAATGGGGCGGGAAGGATGTAGTAACGAGCGGATGGGACGGGCTGGTGCGCGTATGGGACGTGGATGGATGCGCGACGAAGGTGACCATTCCGAGCGGTGGCAAACCCGTGACGAGCGTATCGGTTGCGGATACGGTGATGCTGGTGAGCGCGGTGGACGGGGGTGTCCGGCTGGTGGATGCGCGCGAGGGTAAGGGGGTGGTGGCGGCGTGCGGAAGAAAAGGGGCCCACCGGGGGGTAGTGACGGATGCGTGCTGGATGGTAGCGGGGAAGAGTGCTGTGAGTGGGGGTGGGGATGGCAGCGTGAGGCTATGGGATGTCCGGGCGTTAATGACGCCCGCACATATCATGGAGAGGGTGCATGAGGGAGGAAAGAGTCTTGCAGTCGCCGCAGCGGGAGAGGAGGTGTTCTCAGCGGGGGCGGATGGGAAGGTTGCGCGGTTTCGTGTGTAAAGCTATTTTTATGTCGAGAATGGAGGTTTGTGATGTTGCACACCGTTCTCTTCGTTAGGAACAGCCCTGACACACTGGTTGTGTCAAAAATTTTCATGTCACTGACCTACGGTACAGCCTACGGTGGTGCGTACGACAGGAAGTAGGGCGGTTGATGTACTTGCATCTGCAGTCTTTCCAGCCTGCAAGGGCGTCAAGGAATCGAAAAGGGGAGGGCGGAGACGAGAACGCAGCTCGACGTGGGTGTAGGGATGTACAAAAGAAGCGCATTTTCCGTAACGAATTTGGAAGTGGGGCATCTGAGATCGTGTATTTCGAAGAGCCCCTTTACTCTCTAATGTAACTCTTCGCGCAACGCATGCACTCCAGTTTCAATTCGGAAACAATCCACACTACCACAGGCAGCGTCGAGCGAAAGCACCCACAAAACAACATAAGATATAACTTACCAAACCGATAGAAAAAGCTATTCAAGCCATCGCATTTACTGGCACAATGGAAGCACTAGCATCGACAAACGCTGACGCCAGCTCAGGTATTCCCGACGGAGCGCATCTGCCCTCCCGAGCTAAGTTCGACCTTAAGGATTTTCCCCCCCATCTTCTGAATGCGCTGCTGCTCTGCGTACCATGACGAGAAAGGGACAATCTTAGTGGTGTACACGTTCTGCAGCTCGCGGAAGGTGAAGAGCCTGCTTTCGCTCGGGAGCACAAAGGTGACCTTAAAGGAGCGGCGGTCCTTTTCGACGGCTGAGCTCCTGATGCGGAGCTGGTTGAGCGAGCCTAGTCCGCTGCTGCCGTCCATGTCATACGCCATCTTCGGGGCGAGCGTCGGGCTTGTAGAAGCGTGGCAAATGGCAGCCCCGGAGAAGGGGCGCCGCGGGGGGGCTGTGAAGGAGGAGACGAAGGCCATGGTCGGGGAACGTGGTTGAGACGGGATTGATGGGAGGTTGGGGGGTAGCGCGTTTGTCGAAGCTTCTTCAAACGAGGCAAGTGCTGTCGAAACAGTTCAGGGGCAGCGCAAGTGTTGACTGGGATGGTGACGGGTAGGGTAAAGTCTGCTGATAAGGCACCAGTGAGATATGGGCAGCGCTCCGAGGTGCACACCCCATCATCACTCCCAAAATTAAAGAAAGAATTCCCCTGTGTTCTCATGGGATCACATGGACAAACTACTTTGAGGATGGAGTAATTGCTCCTCTTGACGCTGAGAAACACGTGTCCACGTTTCAAGGCCTGTCGGCAACATTGATATATTTCGCCGTCCACCTTCCCTGACTTCGCTACTACGATCGCACCTGCCCTCATCGACCCCATCTTCTCGGGGGGAGACCATATAGACGCTTCATCCTATACATCACATCACACCGGAGGCACAAACGGTATCGAGGGGGCAATAGCGTCCACCATCCCAAATCCACAAGATTTGCAGTTGCCGTTCCTATTCTCTCTTTGTGCCGTGCTGCCCCAGATCAAATTGCACCTCGGGACGACTCTGTCGCATTCTCGTGGTGCCCAGACAGTCTGGCATATCGAAAGCTCGTCGCCCAACCCGCACACTTCACGTGTGTCTCGAGGCGCGTCATCGGCCCTCGGGCTGCTTTCCGCGTTTTGCGGTAAAGGTTGTGATCGTGCGTCGAGCCACAGTTCGTTTCTGTCCGTCCGTAACCCGGCCGTGAGGTGTGTGCGGAAAGGTGAGGGGTCGCCGTGGTCTTTAGATCTGCTTGCGTCCGGGTCACGTGGCCTGGAGGGCGCCTTTTTGGCGCTTTTTAATCGCATTCAAATGAGTCATTCCCGCGGTACACTTCTTGAGGTAGGCATTTTTGTAATTACAACGCTCATAGAGTAGAGTGAGCTGTGACCGCCTTCCACACAGGGAGGACAGAAGCAATGTGCTGGAGACTTTAACAAGGCATTGATGTCCTCCCGACCGCGTATCCATGCTCATGCGTCAGACCCATCGGGAGGAGTAGTGCAAGTAGTGCGAGTTGAAATACCTTTACGCAATATTGTAGTTCTTTAGTCTAGTGATACAGATGCGCCGCAGAGGCGCCAGTCCTGCCGCGAGGAATTCCCATCCACAGGGATTTCTAGAGAAGTTAAAAACACCCCTTGGAAGCCACGACCGTACAATGGAATTTGAACATACGTTTTGTTCTCCTTCTCTGGATCTTCATTCCGAGGTATCCAAGATATAAATAAATCCTTCGCCTCCACCTTCCCCTCATATCCAACTGTGAACACGCCCTTCACCGGGTTCCATTCACCTCTGCTCAGATGAGCTCCGACTAAACGTCGAGACCCGGAAATTTTGTCAGACTGACCAGTCAATACGCCTACTATGGACGTGGGCGAGATACCCTGGGACATGGCGTGATCATATTTCAAGGCTTCCAAAAGAGCTGCTGGCCTCGGTACTGCTGCGATGTAGATGTCCGACGATTCCTTAATTTTTCCAACAGCCTCAATGGCGTCTTTCAGTTTCGAAAAGAAACTAGACACTGGCAGGCCTGAACCAAAGTAACAGCTCAAACCGGTCCATGCTCCCGGTACCTTGACTTGATTGGAATCGTTGCCTTCGAGTAGATCCTTTCTTAATCGAGCAATCCTTGACTTCGGCTTCACTGTTTTTGTCTTGTCAATGAAGACGTCTTCGACATCCTGTAAGACTGTCTGAGTGATCTCAAATAGCAGGTTGCTCTCAGCTTCAGTATACAATTCCAGAGGGCTCGGAAATTCTGATTTAATGGCAATTGGCTTCACAGCAGACAGGCCCTCCGCAAGATCTATAATGGAATCTGTGCTTTGGCTTGACGTGTGCTTCAGTTCAGACACTGGCCCAAGATCTTTTTCCAGAGCGCCGAACTTCTTTTCAGACAAAGCCAACATTTTGGCCAATGCTGATCGTCCCTCGACGGTCTGCATTCTTTTCTTGGTGTCGAATGGCATGTGTGTCCACCAAGGAGGTGCTTGAAGCGGCATATCTCGGACGTGCTGTTTCCTTTCGTCATTGTTGAGTGGAATTGTACCGTGTTTGCTGCCGTCGAGGACCTTCACTGTACCAGTCTTTGAAGAGGGAACTAAGCGCTCTGCTGAAAATATATCGCCGACTACAGCCCTTACAATATCAAGGTCGGCATCGAGCTCAATTCGACATCCGTAGATGGCATCCGTAAGCATATGCGCTATTGCACTTATCGCGTCCTGAGGGCGGGGCGCTTTCGCTAGTCTTGATGATACAATTTCCCATGACGCAATTAAGTCAGATTCCGAGAAGTCGTAGCACTTCGAAAACCCAATCGGGGCATGAGCAGAACGTTCGACCAAGGAGGCATGAAGCCATGATGTTGCTATCTGATAAGATTCAACGTTAACGTCGCCATCTTTCCAAACATTGATGCTATGTTGGCAGATAGCTGCAATTTTGTCCATGGCACTGCTGAAATTATCACGAAAGCTCGGGGGTGCTTCAAACGCAAGTAGTCGAAAGAAAGGTGCTGTTGCACTCACTTGTGCTCCAGAAAATTGGGAAGAAACTTCAATGACTAGCACGCAGAGAAACGGCAGAAGGCCTTTCCTCTTCGCGATCTCAGATTGCAGGCATTCGGTGGCTGCTTTGCTGGCCAAATGCATATTCTTAAACAGCAGCAACACTCTTCGGCCTTCCTCCCCTTGTTCGAAAGCACGAGATATGACGCCGGTCACGCTTTCGGCAGTGTGCGCACCTCCCATAGCCACGCTCATTGTTGAAATTCTGAGTTGGTTTGCAATATCAGCTACTATTGTTGCCGGATCAGAGTTCTCTCCCCTCGCGCACAGCAGGAGAGGACGCTGTAGGGTAACTTTTGAAGATGGTTTTGCTCCCTGCGAGACAGCGAACGATTTCAAAATCTGACGCAGCGACGTAACTGAATTAGTACCCTTGCTGTGAACTAAACCACGTCCCCCAGGAAGCGTACACGCAAGGACATTGATGGATTCAAACAAGCAATGTGGTTCATGCAATGTTGTACTGAGTACGCGAAGTGCGCCCTGTGCAGTGGATAAAGTCTCTGTCTCGCGCCCCTTATCACGAATACCAACCTGTGACTGTAAATGTGAAGGTAACGACTTTAGCACCTTGTAGCTGCCATGTTCGTGCAAGGGTAGTTGACCCTTAGGAGCAGCATCTAGAGCATTCCGCATAGCATGTCGAATTCTCATCATACAGTCCAGTTCCGATGCTGCGTTTGATCCATGTATGTACGAGCTGGTTACGATAGCCAATGCACATGCGAAAGGCAAGCGATCTTGAGGAAATAAGCTTGGAGCTAAATAATAAAATGCCTTTTCCACAACACGTTGCTGGCATGCCTCTGCTATGTCGCCCTTTGCTGATAGTTTGTTGACGGTGTTTGATAAAAGGGACTCATCGAACAAACGTAAGAATATGCTGATTGGGAACTGATAAACAGGATTCAGGTGCACTAGACTTTGAAGAACTCCGAATAAGTCCACTGCTAAATGACCCAGGCCGTCAAGAGATGACTCAGCCTCGCTTATACTTCTGAAAGATTTTGCTTCTTCCTCTTGACGGATCACTATCAATTCCACTTCTTGCTTCAGACGTGTCAGGCTATCCAACAACGAACCGCCCAACAGCTCAGTTCCAAGGTCTTCAACATCAGTGATGGCCGAAAGAACGCTCTCCTCCAGCTCGTGTTTTCTTCGTTGATATGCCTGCCTAGCAGCAAGTGAGGCTTTCCTTTTTTCCTCTAGCTCGGGAGAGAGAATTCGCAGGGCTCGGGACACGCAGCTGGCATGCAGAGCAGCAGGGCTGAGGTCAAACGAAACCACGTTTGATCGAGTAACAGCCGCCGTTGGTATATTTTGGATATTACCGCCGATCATATACAAGCGAAAACTGGAGCTAAGGAAAACGTCTCGATCTCCAAGTCGTACCACTCGTTGGCATATATTGCTTCTCATTCTAGTCCCGCCTCGAGTAGATGTACTGGACTTGGGGTCTGTCGACATAGAATGGACAAGTTCGGAAGAATCACCATATGAAGATTCCTGTCCGAGGAGCGGAGTAACTGCTCTATCAAACTTCTCAGCGTCTTCCAGAAAGATGGACGTTCCAAATCTCATCGCAGACTCCAATGATCTCATGTATGACTTCTTTCCTTTTGCCGAAAATGAACTTTCCGAAATACGCACAGCTTCCGCATTGCTTGGCTTGTCTCGGTTCTCTAGAGTTTCTCCACTAGATGTATACCCAAGAACCTTGCGTAGCAGGATCGACCCGTTGCGACTAGGATCAATAACTAAGGGAAAGCGAGCAGAACGCTTGAGAATGGCGTAATTTTCAAGACTTGTGCAATCTGTGGGTAATCCTTGCGCTGACCAAAACCCTCGTTCCTCAGCAGATGTCAAAAACTCTGATAAAGACATCTTCTCGTCGAACGGAATACCTTCTCCATTCATCACTTCTTTCCATTGTTCACATATTTGAGACCTACTTACGTGATCTAGTACACCAGCGTATGCCACAAAAGCAGCTGCATACACTGCATTTCCCCATACTGTCACAGCAGCTGCGTTGAAAGAATTCAATTCCTTGACCCAGCGGTCCCATTCTTGGGCGAGTGAATCCAACATATCTTCCGATTTCATAAGGCTTTCTTCTGATTCTTTGATTTCTTGTCTAACCTTCTCAGCCTCAGAAACCAATAATGCGTACTCTGCTCGACAATCTTGGATTCGTTGCTGGAGAATAGCTACCTCTTCGAGAGCATCTTCCTGCTTTCCGAGCAGCTCTTCCTGTTCTTCTTGTAAAACAAGAACTTCTTTTTGCATTGGCGATATGTCCTCCTTCACAGTGGCAAAGTCAAGAACAGAAATAGTCCACTCGGCGAGAGGACCTGCTGCTCGGGAGGCGTATGTGATGCGATTAACATCAAAATCGGGGTTTTGGATAATCTTCTTCTCGATGAGCCCTCTCGCTCCTCTTGGAAGCGATTCAGCATTGAAATTTACCACAGTGGTTATAAACTCTGATCCCCTCATTCGACTTCGAATATTGTTCCAGGTGTAATTGGCCCCACCTCCTCTGCCCATAGAAGTTGCGTCTAAAATCATTAGTACGCCTTCTAACGCAATTCGCACAGGTGCAGGTGGATGTGGCATCGCTCTTAACTCTTCTAAGAACTCTCGCCGGATTGAACCAACGGCGTCCCGAGCCGCTTCAACTTTTGGCAACACAGCGGCGAGCTGTGCACTCACTTCATCCTCACGCTCCCGGACCCGAAGGGAAGCTTCTTGTGCTGCCACAGCTAGTTGTTCAGCATCAACTTTTGACTTCTCAGCCATCCGCTGCTCCTCTACCATTCTCTCCAGTGTCTGGTTTGCGTTGACTTCTTTCTCTTGCAGTCGTTCTGATTTTTCTCTTAGGTCATCTTTCAGGACATCCGCTGCGTTTCCAGCGTTCCGCAAACGACGAAGTCCCTCAGTGTGGCGATCGACACCTCCTTGGATCGCCTTACCCTTTTCCAAAGCCAGTCTGTTGAGCTGTTCAATGAACTCAAGATAATGCCTGGGTGTTACATCAACCTGTGCCCTCGCAAAGGACGGGAACTTGCGAGCAATGTCATGAATTCTGACAGCGCTTCGAATGATTTGGTCCTTTTCATGACCAAGGGAAACTTCTATCTTAAGTTCTGCCACTGCCTCCAAAGTTTCGGGATTCCAGTCACCTAACCAGTCTACCATGCATCTATTGAACAGGGCTGGTGATCGCTGAGAAAGGTTACCCCCAACTGTTCTCTGGTAGTTTTTATCCGAAAGCACCTTCCCCGAACACCCTGTCGATATTGTGAAGACGATATGGAGATTCAATCGAACTCGTCGAACAAATTCTGCATAAATTGATTGCTCCGTGTTAGGGCCAGTGGTTGTTCCGGAGGCCGATGTCTTCAAATCCTCGAGAAGTCGCGCTCTCTCATCCCCTGAGAAAAGTCCGGGGACTTCCCCGCATGCGAGTAAGGAATTCATCATTTCAAGAAAGGCACTGTCCATGGCATTGCTCTCATCAAAGATCAACATTATTTGGCGGCTATTCACTCCAGCTTGGCGAAGAATTTTGCGCAAATCACCTGCAAAGTCAGCAGCAGTGTATGCAGAGTGAGAGTGGACTTGATGCACTTCGGTCGACAGCATCCAAGCAGCGAAACGCGCCAGCGTTTTTTTCCCCGTCCCAGGTGCGCCCATGAGAACAGCGTGACCGAGGGGTTGATTGAGAATTCTATCTAGTCTAGTGAGATGGGTCAGGACATCGTCCGTTACTGCAAACTGATCGATCATTGTTGAAGCATCCTCTAATCCTTGAGAACCGTTCGAGCCCATCCAAGAACCTCCTAGTCCTTCTTCTTCCGCAAAGACTCTAAGCTTCCGGTAAATTAGAGTTCTAAATTGCCCCGGGTTTGACACAATTCGAAAACGCCTTTCGCTGCAACTCTCATCATCATTGGAGAGCCACGATGAATATAGCTGTACAGAAGTTGGTTCAGCACTAACATGCAAGACTCGTTTCACAATTTCGCGCAGAGCGTTGTCAGCAAAGGATTGTTCCTCCTTCAGGAGAAGCCTGTCACAGAAAATTCGTCTCGCTTCGTAACAAAAGGCTGCAACGACTTCTGTCCAACTGTATTCCGTGTGAGCTGAAGTCTCAAACGTGCAATCTGCTAAGGGTCTACTCTCTGTGGGCAAAAGCTGCCTCATTCCGCGAATCCAGCGACTCAAGTCCCGCGGAGAATAAATGTAATGCGGCTGCAGAGGCCCCGATTGAGGGGGACAAAATTTCTCCGTGTTCAGAGAAAAGAACTCTACCATTGCAGCAGTCATATCGGAAGACTTTTCCTCAAAGCGCGGGTCCAGGGATCGCAGTAACGACCGCACAAAGGCTCCATATATGACGGAAATGTCCCTTGGATGGGGCTGCTCCACACGAACAAGTCGGCAATGTCGAAGAAAACGACTTGAAAGCTGATGTCTTCCTGTGTCTTCGTCAGGATTACATGCAGCGACGATCTGCACACCCCTGATCGAGATCCATGTTGGAGGGCTTCCTTGCCAAAATCCCATGTGTTCAGATAGACTTTTAAGAAGGCATATTGCCGCTTGCGTCTCGTAACAGTCTGGTTTCGCAAGGTTGACTTCATCACAAAAGAGAACAACACGACTGCCTGTCGACTTGGGATGGAGAACAAGGCTTCCGTTTGGACGTTTAGTTATCGAAGTGTGGCTGCGCAAAGCAGCCAAGATGTGAGCCGGCGATGTTTCCGCTGAGAAACTCAAGGTAGCAAGGGATACATTCGGAGTCTCTCGAAGTGATGCAGATAGTAGCATGCTCTTCCCACATCCCGGTGGACCGCAGAGGATAATTGGCGAGGGTCGGACCCAATCTCCATTTCGGAGGTTGAGACTTTCTTGAATCAAAGACTCTAACTGTACCGTCGTTGGCGTGGGCACGACAACATCAGGACTTCCAATATCTTGGCATCGTATCAAGGAATCCCGAGAGGGAACCATTTCATGGTAGTCCCGATAGAAGCCATGCGGTGTCATGGCAACTTCAGCCAAATTCGGGGGCCTGATGGTCCCATCAATTGCGCTTCGAACATCTTCAAACCCATCAATTCCATCCCACAGCATCTGTGTAACCTCACACTGTTTGGAACGAACCAATCCGCAGCATAAACTTTTTCCAATTGCCACCAACAATGTGCGAAGAAATACTGCTGGTGAAATTTCAAAATACGAACCCGAACCGTTCCTTTCTTCTTTTTCGTTTTCTTCTTCCTCTAGAAATGCTTGAGAAGGCTGTTGCTTCATAGTTAATAAGTTATTGCGGAGTAGGACCGCAATTGAATCCACCATGGACTGTAATGGAACCTGCATTACCAGCTTACCATCTCCCTCTACGCAACGTGCTATTCTTACGGCACATTTGGCTACACCATGCAAACAGTTTGGTGGTGCACACTGCGGTTCAATTTCATGAAGCAAGGATAAGATTGAAGTGTACAATTTTTCTTCGACAGAGTAACTTTCATCGAAGCAAACCATCCCGCATCGTGAGACGGTACTAGGGTTAGCATGCTTTAGGTGCTCGGTCTCGAAAATTATCCTTGCATGCTCGGGAAGCGGAACCTGTTCTCCGTTTGGTAAAGTCAAAATGCGGTTGTCATCTAGAACAGAGTTCAGATTTTCGACCCAGTCTGGGTCTACATCTCCATCAAACACGATCCAGTCTAACGGGTAACTGTCTTCACATCTGTTGGCAGGTCCCCCTTCGGAAAGTGACCGTAGTGTTTTCGTAAACAATCCATCCGACCACTCTCTCGTGACTCTATCCAGGCCACCGTACAGCTGTTGCGACGTGAGGAGTTTCGCATCTATTACAGTAAGAGAAGAACGAATCTGCTTCTGGTCTGCGTTGTTCTCTTGATTGCTCACATGCGAAAATCGAAGCATTGCATCATGCAGTGTTCTCCACGCCGTTGACTTTCCCGATCCAGTGGGTCCAACAAGCATAACCCCTCGTTGATGTTGAAGTAAAGAGTGCAGCTGTCGAATTTTTTCGACTAACCTGCAGTCCTTCAAGAGCTGGTTTTCTACCAAAACGCACTCCAGGATATCTTCAATTTCCTGTGGCAGCCGCGGAATGTAGCAAGTGGCTTCCGTGAAAACCACGCTGATGGCGCGCTCGTATACACTAACGTCCCTTCCGTTAAGCTTTGGTTTCAAGTTTTCTCCAAGTGCTCGAATAATAATATCTTGTTCAGCCCCTTCTCGCAAGCCTTCGTCCAGATTCACTCGAGGATTCTGAGATTGTAGTAAACTTCGCGAAGCCATGATCGTACTCTTTAGTGAGCGTAATCCGAAATCATAGTGGGCCCGAGAAGGTAGTGTGGCTTTGAGATTCTGAAAGAGAGAAACAAGCTTTCTTGAAAGAGCCCCAGATGCTTTGAAGCCTTGGGACAAGAGAAGAACTTCAGTGATAACAAGGCTGTCCGGCTTTGACATTGAGCATGGTCGAAAGAGCGATTTCAAATTTGCAGGCAACTCTCGTCGGCCGGAATACGTTGGATTCATCGTCACGAAGACTCCAACCCCAGGTGTGATCGACACAGGCAGTTCGCCACCATAAAAATTCTTCACAGCTCTCTCGCCCTTCCTGATTGATGCTTGCAAATTGGCAAGTTGACCAGAAGTTGCAGATAAAATGCTTGCAGAGAGTCTGTTGAATTCATCAAAGCAGACCCAAGATCCTACGCGACAGGCACCAGCCAATATTCTGCCGACTGAAACTGAATCAAAGGATTCATCGCAGTTAAACACCGCTACAAAGCGCCCCAAGATCCTGCCTAGCGCCTTCACAGTTTCAGTCTTCCCAGTTCCAGCAGGACCGAATGGACTGCCGCCGAGGCCTCTCCTGAGGGCTTCACTAAGGGCTAGGTATGATCGGGAAGTTAGCGGGGTATGGACGAGCGTTTCCCCAACCCCCAGATACTCCCAACCGTAGCGAAATTCCCCTTTCCCGCAGCGAATGAGGACATCAGCCGCTGTCCCAGTCTCTCCGACGGTATTGCTATAGAATCGAAGTTCGTGATTCCAATGGTGTGAAGACGCACTTTTCACAGATGCGGCACATAGCGAAGACAACAAGTCCCGCTGATAGACAAATTCCTTGATCAGTTGGTCCTTTGCAGCTCGGATCTTTCGTCGATGGAGTTGAGCGTTATCGATATCTATATCATGAGAACAGAGAACGTCTAGAATGTCCTTCACGAAATCCCTCAACTTTTCTAACGTGTGATTCGCATCAAGAGGTTCTTCAAGGCAAGTTTCGACTTTTTGAGTGAAGCAGATTTTGATTGCCAATAGGGACAGTTGAGCAGGAAAATCCATGTACTTCTTGATAGCTTGGACTTTATAGTCCCTCGAATCATTGTGATAGAGTTGTGACAAGACCTGGATTGCAGGTCGCAGCGAATTTCTCAAGTATTCTCCGAGAGCTTCTTGGATCTTCTCTAACCATGTCGAAAATTGTTCCTTTGCCGTCAGTAGAATCGGCCTTGGAAAGACTATGACCTCACCTTCTTTCGAAAATACGCTGTCAATTTGAACTGCCGAAGCATGCTTCTGAAATTTGAAGGTCCCAACTCCTGGAAAAAGTTTGCTGATGTGTGGAAGTAATCCTTCCACACTGTCAATGGTGACAGACAAGACTTGAAGCAAATCGCTATCTGACAAGAAAAAGAATCTAGGAAATCGAGACCTTTGTTTTTCCAGAAATGTGGATAGACCCCGAAGAATACCCATTAGCTCCTCCTCCATTTCGGTTAGGCCTGAGGGAATTTCTAATCCTTCTAGAATTCCAGGGGCAGCTTCCATACGCTCTCCCAGAGAAGAAAATCTAGCATGAACATTCGAGAATGCATTGAACTCGTCTTGGAGCTCCATACGTAGCCCAGACACACCGGACCTACCTCCAGATCCGAAAAGAGTTCTCATGTGCGCCCACCGAGATTGGACTTGAGAAAGAATTTCCAGCTCTTCCCGACATTTTGCGAGGCGCATCTCCCAGGCCGCACGATCCGATTCAAATAATCGGGCGTATGGGGAGCCCGACATTGTTTCCAGAGCTTGTAGATGTTCTTCGAGCTCATCAGTAAGCTCAGGAATTCCTTGCAAGAGAAGAACCCCACCGACTTTGACAAACGCACACTTGCGTGCGGTCCACGAGCGGCCAATACTACTGAAAAACTCTGCTACGGAGGCTTCTCCAGCTGCATTTTCAAAGACCTCTCGTAGATATTTACCATGATCAGAAACCTTCGCATCCCAGAAGACTTTCAGAGATATTCTTCCGATGCTCTTAGATGCTTCTTCTCCGAACAGGCGCCGAAGTAGATCTCGTTCCCTAACCGCGGAGAGCTGAACGGAATGCAGTTTAGTCAATATTCCATGAGATTGTAGGTATCTAGATATCCTGGTCTTGAAACAACCCGCTTCTCGCATCGCCCCGCTTAAGTTTCCAATACTAGCTGCTTCCGATGACCATTGATCCAGAGATTCACGAAGAGAAGATGGTGAAACATCTTTGATCTTTGTAAGTCCCACGGCATCCACATTCTCCTCTAACACTTTGAGCTTCTCAACCCCTGCTCTTACTCGCTTCACTTCGGCAATAATGCTCAGAGCACCTGTTCTATCTGGCAGTTGTGAGCTGCATAGAGCCCTCCCAATACGCTCCAAGTTCAGTCCTTCCAGACATAAGTTGTCTAGTCGACTTTCCAGTTCATCTAAATAGCTAATGCCTGCGGTTGACGTATGTTCCGTTCTATCAGAGCTGCGAACTTTCTGAAAGTCGTCGAACGCTTCAGCCAAGCTCTCTTGGTATCGACTTATAGATGATTGATAATTAGACTGCAAAATGTCATGATTTTGAAGAATGCTCGCACTTTTTTGTTCGTGAAGATCTAATAGACTCTTCAAATGGGCGTTCAGCTCCTCAGAGACAATCCAACTCTCTGCTGATCGTGCGCGAGAAAATGAGAAGTCTCCAATGCGCTCTGCAATTTCCTCAAATTTGCTTTCCAGTTCTGCAAGCGACTCAATAGAAGAAGTGCTCAAAGGGATCAAATTCTCTTTCAAAGTTTGCAGAGACAACAGCTTTTCTGTGCCATCAGATGTGCTCGCTTCCGAAATTGACTCCTTCGCATTAGAAATGGTTTGATAGAGTACTTGTGACTTTCGAGAAAATGAGGAAGTTGTCTCATCACAGAAAAGGCTCAGAGTCTCCAGAATATTCGAAGAGATTCTTCCGCAGAGGTCAGATACATCGAGACGTATGCAGTCCTCTAAACCTCGGTACCTGTCTGCAGCTGTTTCAGTCTCGCGACGTAAGGCTATCACAGCCTCGTACGTTCCTGTTAGAGTTTCAAGAACATCAACGGCACTTTCACTGGTTTCGTCATACTGACTGACTATAGCCGGCAGTTCGGGGTCAAGAAATTGCAGATATTCGGCCCAACGTCGCACTCGATCTGAAACTCTTTCAACAGAACGCTGTATCAGCTCATATGGAGAACAGAACAACTTTTTTGAGTCCCTCAAGTGCTGGTGCACGAGCAAGTTCCCAAAGTCGGTATCACACGTCGTGCAAATGCCCTCATTTTCCTGAGAGGTCTGATGTATTACATTCGCAATGGCAGTGTAGATGGAGCCAAGGCTACAAAGGAGAAAACTCTCCACTTCTCCAACGCCTGGAGTGCACCAAATACCTTCTCTCGAACTGTCCCTTGGCATGGCTTCTACAGTTATCGATGGCACTCCAAGTTTAGCAGAGCGCACTGCAGATACCCAATTGACCATCACTCGCTCCAGACATTTGAGGAGCGCATCATTCAATCTTGGAACGCAATAGGTGAGGATATAAGCATGCACTGAGGTTTCATTGAATGCCTGGTGCAGATGAACGGAAGCAACTTTGAACCGTCTAAGCAGTGTCTGAAGTTGGCTTATTGATTCCGACGAAATCTCTGCCTCGGAAAACTGTGGGTCAAGAAGAAGAATGTCTTGTACAGCATTCTTCATGGCCGCGTCTTTCTCAAGCAAATTTGAAACGTCCTGTAAGAAAGCCGAACACTTGGACGACAGTTCCCCAGCATGTGACTGTAGTTTCAAAATGGAATCAGTCCATGGCATGAGGAGACCTTCTTCAATCACTTTTTGAGCTTTACCTCTCTGTACACTCAGCAATGGCGCGGTCCGATAGAATGTTGAATCTCTTGCTTCCTTGAGCTTGTCACACGCGCAGTGATACGCTGCGAGCGCATCCCTTAGCGTAGCGACGACTGGAAACAAAGACTTGGTTACCCGTGCAAATTTGTGATGCTCCGCCGTCAACAAAAGGCTCAGCTCTCTATCGTCCCGTGCGGTACGCAGGACTACGTGGAACGAAGCCACGTCGACAGATAAGGACAGCCTAACTCGCGGACCAACACCCTCCCCTCCTTCGACACGGTAAAGATTGAGATTTTGCATATTCATCTGAATTGTGCTCAACCACGTTGACAGGCTTTCTGCGGGATCCGAGCGATCCTTCAGAGAGTTAACTTCAGCAACAAAGTCTTGCAGGTCTGGAGAAATATCAGCGACAGTCTTACCGACAACATTGTAAACACTTGCCAGCAAATTCGACGCTCGTGCTCTCACAAGTCTGCGCTGTGATAGAGCGTCTACAATGTTTGGAACATCTTGCAACGGAGACTTTCGATAGGGCTGGGAGTTAGACAAATCTCTTCGCTTCAATCTCGTAAAATCGGCCCTCGCAAGTCCCAAAATCGTTGGAATGGCGTTGGAGATGGCCGAGGATATGAAATGCTTCTCAAGAATACGGAGCAGTGGCTTCAGCGATTGTGCTAGCTGATGTATGGAGGACCCCTTCTTCGCTATTTCTTCGTACGCCGCTGACAAGAACTGTTCTACGTCCTTTATCTGTAACCTGTAGCTGGAGGTCACTTCTGTCCAATGTTTATCCCTCGCTGGGGATGCATCAAAGTGGTCCAAAGTTTCACATTCTTTGACAAGCCATGTGTACGCGGATTCGAGACAATCAATCTTCCGGCCAGCTGACGGGAGGATTGTAAGAAGGTCGTGCAGGACGCTCCATGACACTTCATGGTCGGAGCGCAGTTCGTAGATATCTGAAAGATGTGAATGAAGGTGTGACAAAGGCGATGTACTCCGTGGAGGCATGGTCTCCCCCTTCTTATGGGCTGAGTCTCGTGCAACTTTGCGACAGTGGTCAAACCCTCGAGACCAGGTTTCAAACAACTGGCAGCAACACTCGAATAAATGTACAAATCTGTCGAAAGTAATGACAAGAACGCCGCCCTTCTTCGCCAGAACGCGCCCGATGGCTCGACTCACGTCTTCCGCAACAGATTCTATCAAGCCGAGCACGCGCTCCACGGAAAACGAGGACACTCTCAGCTTCGCACCGACGTGGTCCAACAAATCCGTCACAGCAGACTGCAAAACGTCGAAGTCATCAGCCGAACGCAACGCAACCAGAGGAAGTCCCTGAATCAAAGTCAAAACGCCACCTGCTTTTCTTCTGGCAGTGTCGATAGAGTTATTTGCATCAATGAGAAAGCCAGTGGCACGCCTATTTCTAGCCAACACGTCAAGTGATATCCGGACAGTTTTCGATGCAAGCTTCTCCTGTGCCGCAGAAAGAGCAGCATCGAGGGAACTCCAAAATACGGTCTCTTCTTCAACAGAAAGTACAGTGTCAGTTTTAGTTGTGGATGCTTGGACAACGCGGTCTATCTCCTTGGACCAGGCAACGACATTGCCTTGAAGCTGATTGATCAATGCAAGGTCGTCAAACAATTCGTCTGGTAACTGGTTGACAGAGTTGAGTCCTTGGCCAACTCTGCGACGTATTTCCGTATGGACTGGAAACAGCGGTGGGGCAACTGAAAAACGTCTTCCTTTACCGATGACGTCCAGGGCAACGGAGGCTTCTCGAATTCGCTTTCGAATAGCGTCCCGTTCTGGCACGGCTACACCAATCCCCGCAGCGTAACTGTCAGAGAGGGGGAGGACAGCTCTTTCCAAAATAGCACGCAGGGACGGAACGGGACACTCTGTACTCGAGCCCAAGACTAGGCTGTCGTACTCATCTCCGCGACGAAGGAGGGCAATGGTGGCGCCAGAATCGGTTTGAAGGAGGGAGGCTGCTCCATCTTCGACTGAAGCGACAGCTTGCGCAGCGTTTGGGAGGTGGAGAGACGTGAGAGTGGCCACGGCGGCGTCGCTTTGCATAGTGAGAGGTTGGCGTTAGGGAATAGGCAGTCCCAACGAGTGGTTTGATGGCTGGACAACAGTGGGAAAGATGTGGGACAGTCGGTGGTTTGGGGTTTGGCTATGTAAGTCAAGTAGCGATTGTCGAATGGGCGCTAATGGAAGAGCAGAAAGCCGACGAGGCCCCGTAGAAGCCCTTGACCCATCAATGCAAGCAATTTGTTGTTTACATAAACAGAGCAACCTCCTCCTCCATTCACAATGTGAGCTGAGCGCTGGGCGATCAAAGGGCGCGAAAGACGTCAATTCATTACGGCATTCCGCTGTTCACAGCGGCTCACATGAGCCGCTTGAAGTTTCAAAGCAATACACGAAATCCGGAAAAACGCGGGAAACCGCTCCTCACAACTCAAACATCCTTATTGAGCTCGACACGTGTCAAGTATGTCCCTGGACACGTACACATCGCCGGACCGCACTTACACCCGCTGTACACCATTTCTGCATGTGCTGGCACTTCCAATTCTATACACAACTTCGCAATTGATTTGTTAGAATGCTTCATCCAATTACGCATGTGAGATCCGGTCGGTGCGGGCGCCGCCTTCGCCTTCACCAGGCGCCTTCACTAATCGCACGGACGTCATTACTTGAACCATTCCAGTATCATTCATTCTCTACTTAGGTGTACAGTAACGCGGCTCAGCTTCATTCCCAATAACGCAGTCTGTGATTTCATTACCCGCACACCCCACCCACGACCTGAAACTCACCATGGACGCCATGGAGATGGACGGCGTCGCCGCCCCAACCACGGGGACTCTGCCGACAATTCTCTGCTGTCTTTGCGGCACTGCAATAACATCGAACCCCTCCAACATGTGCGTTTCCTGTATCCGCGGCCAGGTCGATATCACTGAGAGCATCCCGAAGACCGCCTCCATCTACTACTGCAAAGGCTGTGCTCGTTACCTGCAGCCTCCAAAGCACTGGGTCGCATGCGAGCTCGAATCCAAGGAACTCCTTACCATTTGCATTAAGAAACTCAAAGGCCTCAACAAAGTCAAGCTTATTGATGCTGGCTTTCGCTGGACAGAACCCCATTCACGAAGAATCCACGTCCGACTCCTCGTCCAGAAGGAAGTCTTTCAAAACACTATTCTGCAGCAAGAATTCGTCGTCGAGTTTGTTGTCGATTACCAGCAATGCGACATGTGCCAGCGAGATGCGGCCGATCTTGATGAATGGCAGGCCGTCGTCCAGGTAAGGCAGAAAGTCCAGCACAAGCGTACGTTCTTGTATTTGGAGCAACTCATTATTAAGCACAGCGCTCATGAAGATACCGTCGGTATCAAAGTTCACCCTGATGGCCTGGATTTTTACTTCATGCACAGAAGCCAAGGTATTCGATTCACCTCATTCTTGAATCATGTCGTCCCGATTCGATCGAAGCAGGCGGACCATCTTGTCTCTCATGACGCAAATTCGAACACCTACAGATACAAATACACCTTCTCAGTTGAAATACTTCCTATTTGCAAAGATGATCTCGTGGTCCTACCGCCAAAAGTGGCCACGCATCTAGGTGGCATTGGCCCGCTTGTGCTTGTGACCAAAGTGTCTCAGGCGCTCACCATCATCGACCCTTTCACTCTACAAACTGCGGAGCTTGCCGCCGCATTATACTGGAGGTATCCGTTCCAGGCACTGATGAGCATCAAGCAGGCCACTGAATTTTTCATCATGGATGTCGAAAAATCAGAAGACAGAAAAGGCAAGTGGTGCCTGGCTGACGCCACCGCTGCAAGGTCTGTAGACTACGGAAGCAACGACAATCAACACTTCATTCGAACTCACATTGGCAACTTTCTCCGGCCAGGAGATCTGGCATTGGGCTATGACATTGGAAATGCTGTTTACAATGACAACCTTCTTGCAGGGCACAAAAAGCTGGAGCTCCCGGACTTTGTTATATTCAAGAGGACGTATTCAAAGAAGAATCGATCGAAGCGACGAATGTGGCGACTTAAGCGCTTGAACATGGAACTCGACGAGTCTATGGTCGATACGGGATCTCACAAGCGTGTTCCAATGGATCCAATTGCAAAAATGGCTGCTGAACAGGAGGAATTCATGCAGGATTTGGAACAAGACAAGGACCTCCGTTCTACAATCAACATCTACAAGGACCCAAAGAGAATACAACCTGCAGGTGGCACAGATATGGATGTGGACGAGGGTGCCCAACCCAAACCGGTAAAACAGGTTGTTGCCGCTGCCGAGGACGGCGAAGAGGAGGAAGATGAAGAATACCCTGAAGTGCCGATAGAGGAACTCTTGGAAGGTCTCGTCTTGGAGGACGAACCGGGAGCCCCCGCGCCGGTCCCCGGGGAAGATGAGCAAGAGGAGGAGTAGCAATAATGATACCATCTGCAACGTTACTTTTTACGGTCTGTACTAGAATGCCCGAAACCAGCTTGTGTTCTGTATCTGCACCAGGACTACATAGCATCCAAGTCCTCGGACTGAGCAATTTATCGCACTCTTCTACGAATACGTTTCTAACTTGTTGTCGCTTCTGAGTCTCATAGAGGAGTGCGCCGTCACGGAAAGAAGAGACCACAGATACCAATCTCCCTTTCCACCACCCATCGTGAGCATTCTGCGATGAGGATGCGACTGTATCAAAAGTTATACTTCTGTGTATGTGCGTCCTGTTTTTTGTTATACAGATATGTCGAAAGCGGCAAGCATCCTTCAGAATGTCTGCGGGGCAGCGGTTTCGTAGTCTACTGACACTACTTCATAGTGATGACTCTCTGATGAGTCTAGCAAGCAAGTACATGTGTCAAATCCACCCCCGGGCACGCGAGCGCTTTGTTGAGGTTATGTTAAATAGAAGTGGTATGAGGCATTCAACTTTCATGGATGCGTTTCACTGGGATGTTGCATCCCGCAACAGTGCCAGTGAAAACGGACACTAATCACCAATAATGATCTCACCGTTCTTCCATGGTACGACTTCGATCAGATTTTCCTTCACGTCGAAACGATTAAAGCTTGCTTCCAAAGATGCTGTGAGGACTGTACTTGTTAGGGTCCTGTACCTGCAACACCCACGAGTTGACCGACGGGGCACGTCTCCAGTCCGACACAGCCATCCCGACAGACAATGAGAGCGAAGGCTAAGAGTCATGGTATGTTCAATGCTTGATAGCTACGAGTACCGTTTAGCGGCATGAGTAGGTATCATAAATCGTGGGAACGAATTGTTTGCAAACCTTCTCAACGCTGCACGCGAGGGTTCAGAGCTTTACAGAGCTTTCCGCAGTGCACGCATGATCAAGAGATCGACACAGCATTCAGCATTAGCATGAAAAGATATCATCATGTCCCCCGCGTGGAAGCTGCGAACTACAAAGGACGAAGTCCTCGCTCCGATCACACAAGTACATGCGAAAGTCGTGTGTTGAATTGATTACTAAACGACCGACGCTCTAGTGTGCGATAGAAGCAAGACAGGGCAAAGGTAGCGCCGCAGAGCGTTTTGCTCGGACGACGACCTCTGTGGCTGCATCGCTATTGCTGGTTGCATCGACCATATAGAACGCCAGACAAAAAATTTGCGAGATATGGGGGTACGCTGATGTCCAGTGCTCTAAGTCATCAGGGGGGGCTTTCTAACTAGAACAAGGGTAGCAGCGAATCGCAGATGGGCAGGGTAGGGCCGCGTGGAGGGCGAACTAAACGGGATCAAAAAAAATATCTCTCTCCCGACCTAGAATCGAACTAGGGACAGTTTGATGGTTATGATCTTCACTACAGTCAAACGCTCTAAGTTGTGCTTGTACCAACTGAGCTACCGGGAGGGATTCCGTTGTTGTGAAATAGGAAAATTTTTAGTATTTATTAGTATGCTTTCATTTGATAAACCAATAGAAAAAATACAAGTGCCTCCAACAGATTGGGCCGGGATCGACAAATCCAGGCAACACTAAAGCCGGAGGAGAGTAGCTGGCAGGTCACGGTTCTAAGGTTGGGAAGCCTGTCATCGACTTTTCGGAAGCGTGTAGCACCTACTGATAGCGGAGGAGCAACGAGATGCATTCGTTTTGCGGACGGCCGGCGACACTAGTAGTGTAGGGAAAAAGCATTCACACGCGAGCGAGATGTCGACACTCCCGCGATTAACAAAAACACCACCCGCGAACACCTTTCCTCAAGGGCTGACATCGTCACCACGCTCTCGCAGTGTCTCAGTACGCCGCGACCACCGAGGCCCCCTTCTTAGAAACGGAACCAGGGCACATCGCCCTGCCCACAATACCACTGCTGATGTCGCTGTCCAACCGCGCCTCTCTCCGCCTGGCCTCCCCCAGTGCAACCACCAGCGCAAGGCGTAAGCGTGAGCAGTCCGTACCTACGGGTACCATCAGAAATGCTGCGCAACGCCCACCTGGCGCCGTCAGCGCAGCAGAGGCCGATCAGCTCACTACATGTACTACAAGTTGTAGACTATTCGCAACTAGCTGCTCGCCTACGACACCGTGGCAGCCCCTGATGTTGGCTGGCATGTCACCCCGACTGCATTTGACACGCCCGATGCTCTCCCAGCTTTCAAGCGCCCAGTCGTCGATGCCCACGCAAGACGGATCGCCTCCCGCAACTCCTACACGCTCGACACTGCAACAGTGTGTCAGCGACTCATCTGGTAGCGTGTTGCCGTAGCATACTTTGCTCGCACGTCTGATCACGAAGCGGACCGCTCACATCTACAGTAGTCATATACAAGTAGGAAGATCAACGGGACTGTATTACGGCCGGCATGGGCCGGTTAGCAAGTTATGCCTTGATTGGGGGACAGCATTGCGGATGCAGACATCTTAAAGCATGGGTCGCTTCCTTTCACGGGACGTACTCAGTGAATATATACGTCATGAACGTTAGTCACATATGTTAGACCGTCTCTTGCGATTGAAACCACTTCTCTTGATTTGCGGGAGTTCGTCCCTGGCTTTCCAGAGATGCATAAACACACAAATGGCCTTCATACTATCTGCAAAAATGCTCCTTTGGAGCAAACGCGGCGGCTATCTCATCCAAAGAATGGTGGAGGGTCAACAGGATGGGAGTGAGAATGTGAGGTACACGTGGGTACTGTATTACTAAGCTTCTCCGTTGTGCTTGAAACAGCCATTTCCTGCTCCCCTATTTGCACGTACTATTGAATGGGGATGGTGAGCATTGCTCGTTTCGCAGGAGACGCAGTCAGACAAGAGCAAGGAACGTGATAGAAATGCAATGCCCCTTCCAAACAGAGAACCACGCCCTAATATTGCTTTCCGTGAAAGGTGACGACAAATAGGCTGAATTATTTTTGGGATGAGCAAGAGCAGGGGATGGGCAAGCAAGGGATCCTCATACTGTACTGTAATTACAGTACAATACAAAAATGGTAAAACCGCAATTGATAGGCAGAGGTCACGCTGATGCTACAGTACAGGGGGTCGCGATATAGTGCCATCTTTGTTAGTGCCAGCTCCGATATAGTGCCACCCTTCTGCGGGTGGCACGAATTTTGGCCAAAAACGAAGGGTCTCCAGAGAGGCAAGGCAGTTAGATGGACATACTGCCCGAGAGCCGCTGCCGCCGCGGAAAGATATTATGCAGTTGCTTACTAGAATGGAGACTATGGCGGAAAAAGGCAGGGTCGATGATGCAATTGGACATCTGCAAAAGTGTAGGCTGGCATTTATGGCTGCGAAAAAGGAGGAAGTCAACGCGACGGCTCGGCAGCTACTGTACTAATAACAGAAATGCTTAATTAGACTTGAGTCTGTAGTGAGGATGCAAAGTATGAGTGATGGCGTCCTGCGAGCGGTCTTTCTGAGCAGTGATGCAAGGGAGTGGCTGCGAAAAGGCTGTACATCTCATTATCTTACAGTGCCTCGTTCGATATAGTGCCGTTTTCGGCCCACTGACACAGGGTAGCACTATATCGCGACCCCCCCCCCCCATGTATCGGCATGCACCAACATTGTGCCTATCAAAATCTGCGGCTAACTGTACCAGAACGTGTTTCTCGATGCTGTTCGTAATGGATACGCTCGCGAATGGGCCGGCTGCTCAGTGATGCCTGATGACACAATTCTTTAATTGGAGTCGAAGGTTGGAGAGTGTAACCGTGTAGATACGTAGACATGTAGACACACTCCACTAGTTGCGTTCTAAAACGACACAGAAAGAAGCCGAAAGGGGCTGCGAGCAGCCGGTGAGACGCGGGATGGCGGGAGGGAAAGCGAGAAGCGAAATGACTGCCGAACGCAGCACGTCCCCAATAGGAGTTCGGGGGACTGGGACAGGAAATACAGTATTCCTTCAAGCACCGCCGCGGTCGACGGGGCGGTGGCGTGACTGCGTGATGTGACGGTCACGTTCAGATTCCCCCTTGCCCCAATGAGCGCTGGGGGCTTACATGGTGATTCCACAATACCGTTCGAATCCAACCCTCAAGAGAAGCTACCCTTGTAAGCTCTCTCCCAGACCGCTCACCTGTCGAAATCAAGAAGAGCTTTGGACAATAGCAAACACGTCCGTTTGTCCGCCACACCACAAACACTGGACCCTAAGGTGCTGCGATCATTTGCATTCCACGGTTGCTTCTCTCACCAAGTCCCCCGCGATGACATCACCGCCAGCAGTCGATCCGGCAGTCCCCGACTCCCTCTCCGAAGACATCATTGAAAAATCTGACGCTCTCCAATTCCGAGACCTCAACCAACCGGACCTCCACTTGAGATATTGGTGTCGTCGAGGGTATTCAGAAAAGCCAAACCCCAACGTTCTCATCTGGGTGCACGGCATCGGGGAGCATGCCGGCCGATACAAAGAGCTTGCGACAGAAGTTCTGACTCGCGTACCTTCCCTTGATGGGATAGCTTCATACGATCAGCGTGGGCATGGAAAGTCTCAAGGCGCTCGAGGAGCTGCGCCGTCTGTCACAGCGCTGGTGGACGACTTTGTGGAGCATGCGTCCAGGCGCATGGCGCTGGAGTTTGGCATGGACCCGCGCATTATAATTGGCGGTCATTCTCTTGGTGCGCTTGTGGTCGCTGGTGCAGCAGAGAAAGCAGACTGGTTGCAGGCTGAGGAGTGCGGGAAGATTGTTGGAGTGCTTCTGTCTGGACCCGCGATTTATCCCTGTGTGGTGGGTGCAGTTAACAAAGCCCTTGCTCCGATGTCTTCTGTGTTGTGTATGATTCCGGGGGTAAAGCGGTTGACGAAAGGCAGTGGCGTCGATCCGAAGAAACTTTCTCATGACGAGATAGAAGTGCAGAAGTACTTGGACGATGACTTGGTGTACGTTTATCAATATGTTTGCTGGACTATGGTAGGTTACTTTACGTTTGAGGCTCTGACGTTGATTTCATTTTCTTTTCTTTCTGTGTGAAACCTACCGGCAGACATGACCAAATCGGGGTGGGTCTTGCTACAGACAGTCTCAACTACGGCCGCAACCTCATCCAGCGCCTGAAAGAGACGTCAAATTCCGCGCATATTCTAACGAGCGGGACTCCATTGCTGGTGATACACGGAGAACTAGACGAGGTTTGTTCTGTGGATGGTAGTCGGGCGTTAGTAGAGGCGTGCGGTGGAAACAGCGCGGAGCTTGTGGTTGTACCAGGGGCTTTCCACGAAATTCACAATGAGCGAAAAGAAAACGGAAAGGAAGACATGCTCAATTCTTGTGCACAGTTCCTGAATAAGGTTTTTGCAGGCAAGCAAGAAATGTCTGGATCTACCGGAGTTACTGAGGGTACATAAGCTGGACGCTACGGATAAATGTAGAGGTTCTTGAGAAGGGCGTGCATGTCGCGCATGGCAAGGTATGCATGCAAGAAATACGCTGCTCGTTTTGTATGCATTCATCATATACGCGTATTGCTAAAGCACAACATGAACGGTGCCAATGCTTTAATATTGCACCACGCCGAAACCAACCACAGGTTTCCCGGTGAACGCTGTTTTGCCCACGCGTCTTTTGAGAGCTCATTCGACGGTTGTTTAAAGGGCTCGGATAAATTGCAAGGTCTTGCCTTCCACGCCACTGCGACGGTGCTCTGCCACCGCCTAGATCATACTGTACTTACCAGCCCAATTATTTACAGAGAAGCTGCACTTCTATTGGCTGGGGGCCTCGCCACGACCCTGCAGAATTCAGATGAATTTATCCACACGAGTCCGTTGGGCGCGTTATGTAAGCTGTTCACCCATGTCAATTGGATGATTGTTTCACAAGAATACGGATTTACAGCAATGCATCACGTACAGCAACTTCAGTCCACATGTGCAGACGGACACGAGAGCACTCAAATATATCGAAACCGCCAGTCAACACTACCGCTCCTACAGTACCCTTGGGTACCTCTCAAAACCTCACACTCACTTGCCCTGCCCTCTTCACCACCCGGCACACCTCATCCCCCCAGCTCTGGCCCCTTCCGTCTCCCGCACAATCCCCACAATCACCAACGCTTCTTCTGCATCCAACAGTTCTACCTTGCCTTCGCACTCGCGCAATGCCTTCCCCGTTTCACGTCGAGGTCTCCTTACCCATCCCGGCTGACCTTTTCTGGAGCCTCCGCGCCTCACGCCAATTCACCTCGTACCTGGTCACCGCCGGGGCGTTGAACCGTTTGGAGTCCTCACAGCCCCGTCTCGTCGCCGGCGACCCTAGTCGATACACTCGCGTCCAGACCTATGTCCCAGCAACGATGGAAATTCCAGATATCATCAAACCAATAATCGATGAATCCTATATCGAGGTGTGTGACACCCAAACCTGGGACGTCGTTGCAGGAGACGAGCTCCGACAAAGCTTCAACATTAGAACTTCCATCATGGCCGACTTGGTCAAGACCTCCGGTTTCCTTTTCATCAAGGCACCACAACCCCTTAATACGTCTGCAGAGCAAGCACATGACACCTGTCATCACGTCATCTCGGGAGAGTGCTGTGTCTCTATCCCCATCCTCGGTTGGTATGCAGAGCAAGCCATCATTTCAAACATAAAAAACTTTTACAAGGACTACCCAACATTTGTTCAAGGCTTTGCTGATATGGTCATGAGGCGGTGGGGCGACAACAATTCACTAACCCTCCGCGATGCCATTGAAAGGATGTTGGTCGAAGAAAAAGTCGTCGAATGACCGTCCCACATTCCTGTGTCCGTTTATTCAACATTTTCCGGAAAAGCCCTCCGAGTCAAAACGTTTTGTGCTGAGTCCGTCATACAGTTCACCGTAGGTCCTTTTGTTATCGTTGTTTCTCAGTTGAAGGCTTTTTTGGGCCCTGCCGAGAGCCATGTACATTTGCCGCTAAACAAAGAAAATCACTGCACGCCTACACATAACCCCCGCCTTTCTGCTATCAATCTGCCATCCCTTGGTGAGTCGGAAGCTTCCTTTGTACTTTTAGGGAGCGAAAAAGTTCCAGAAAGATAACTTAAACGCAGGCACATTCATTCCTTCATATAATGCATCTCTTCTTCGTACAAGGAGTGAAACTTACGTTGCTACAAGCAAACTGCTGTGGTTCTTGTGTGAAAGTGTCACCCTATCGATCGTCCGTAAATCAGAGGGGAGAATATAGTTGGTAAATGGGCTTCAGAGTATCTCATATGTTCTATCGCGAAACAGCATGTGTTGCTGTAGCGGTGCTACTTTCGCACATCCGCACTGGCCCGCTTCACCACCAGCAAATGCCGCCAACTCTTCAGAGCTTAAACTGAGATGATATGCAGGCTCTGCTGAACTGGTGTAGCTGATGCCTTTGGAGTGGCGCAAGGTGAGCATTTCATACATTGTGAGTGGAACTCATTGCTTCTTTTACCTTTGTTGAAATGCATATTCATACTTGTCATATTTGGATAGCAAATTCATGTAGTGATGCACAAATTCTATGAAGCAGACTCATTTGGAGCTCTCTGAATAGGCACGTCATGGTCGACAACCGACTTGATGATTCGGACGCGGAGGTCGGAAATAAAAGTGCAACACTCCCCATTGCCGCGATGGGATGGGCGAAGGACAATAAAAACCGCACTTCTCTCTGATTCGCGTGAGGTAATCGAAGAGAACTTGCCCTTTAACATACGGCACCACATCTTTCGCACTGTGCACATCACCTCGGATAATTTCGGACGTATTGTTTTGACCCTTGTACTGTAGCTAATGTGCTGAGGGGATTCTCTGTACAGCGAGGTGTGTCCCGCAGTACTTGTAGTAGTGCCCCATTGTACAGTACGGCAGAGACGCGTGAGGTCCTGTTATTGTGTGGTTGTCGCTTTCGCTTCACGGGAAATTTGTCAGTCTCGTCCACTTTGGCAATTTTAACTGTTTGGCCGGATGATCCAGCCTGTTAACACAGACAAGACGCGACGCCACCCACCTTCAGTGCGGCACCTCAAAAGTAAGCGCCATCCACTTTGCACACGAATCTATACTCCTCTTCCGCATCACTCAAGTCGAGCAAGAAGTCGACGGTGGGGTGCGAGTTTGGCGTGCTACGTGCCTCTTGGGCGATCTCTGCGTACGTCTCGAGCATACGCTCGACGGCTTGCGCGTCGATGAGGCCGTGATTGGCGGCGGCTTCAGCGTGGAAGATGCGGTAGCTCGCCGTCTTTCCCGGGGCGTTGACCAGTGTGAGATCGCGCGACGGGGCGCGCACAGCACGATTGCGAAAGGCGAGCAGCTCCAGTCGCTCGCCCGTGGCGGCCGGCAGGGCGTCGACGTTGTCGCGAAAGGTCATGCTGTGGAGCGCCTGGCGAGATCGCGATACTCGCCGAACGAAGGATGGGGCGGGGAGGAAGGCCGACATGCTTGGAGTGTGGATTGTACCTGCACATGCACATGCACATGCACCAAGTTGGACCGGATGAAGCTCAGCGAATGTAAAACACAGATCCAGACCAAAAACGTATCACAGATAGCCCTTCAGAGATAGCCAGCCCTTCAGAGCACGGCAGCATGTGTCGTGGCTCAAAATATAATCGGCAAAAAGGCATATGCCCTGAGACATTGCCCAGTTTTGTTTCGCTAATCGCACAAGGGCGACTTCTTCCAAACGTTGCAAGAAGGTACAAAAGTATCAAACTGCCTGACGAAGGTGGGGTTCGAACCCACGCCTCAACTGAGAATACGGCCTAAACGTATCGCCTTAGACCACTCGGCCACTTCGCCGTCAGTCGGATCACGGTACAGCAGTGAAAATTTATCCGTTTATAAATCCTTTTACAAAGTAGGATTCGTTAATCTGGATCGCACGCCGCGATCCAGATTAACGAATCCCAGCCCGGAGGCGGGCGTTCGTTAATCTGGATCGTTCTCTCTGTGAAGTTGCCAAGTCTTCCGTTACCTCTCCCCCTCCACTTTATCTTTCTATCCCCCTACTGCCCTTAAGGGGCAGTACCCTCCGTCGTCCCTACGGGTGCAGGTGTACACGTACACACATGTACACGTACGCGTAATGACACTCTCTGCCTTAACTCGCTTGGTTCAACGATTTGCCTCTGGCGATCTGCCTGACCGTACTGTACCACTTCTCGCTGCTTCTACCCTTATTCCCCTCCAGCCACGCCCAGACAAGATCCGCCCCATCGCCGTTGGCCAGGCGCTTCGCCGGCTTGTCACCAAAGTGCTGCTCTTGTCACCAAAGTGCTTCTGCCTGCCGCTATAGATGACACACGCGACCGGCTCTCTCCCGAACAGCTTGCAAATGGCGTGCCATCTGGCATGGATGCCATCGTTCATGATTGCCGCATGCTCATGCGGCGCCATGGTCGAGACCCCAACTACGTCCTTGTTTCCGTTGACGCCCGCAACGCATTCAATACGTTCTCCCGCCAAGCCATGCTGCATCGTGCACCTCTTCAGACCCCGACCCTATCACGATTTCTAAACCTAATATATGGCCACGCTGTCCCGGATCTTGTCCTGTCATCGTCGCCTCCAATTCTGATGCTCAGCCAAGAGGGTACGCAGCAGGGCGATCCTGCCAGCATGCTCATGTTTTCGCCCGCCATCCAACCCCTCATCCGCCGTCTCAGCCGCAAGTGCAACCTCGCCCTCAACCGTTGGTACGCTGATGATGGAACCCTCATAGACACAATTGCTGAAGTCACCAAGGCACTCCGAATTTTTCGAAATTCTGGCCCTGCGGCCGGTTTCCATGTAAACATTTCCAAGTGTCGTGCGTTCTGGCCATCGTCCTCCCCCGCCAATCTCTCCCCACTTCTCGATTTCTTCCCTGTTCAGGTCCCTTCTGAAGGTCGACTTGTTCTCCTTGGCGCCCCCCTCGGCTCTGACGCCTTCATCAAGAATTATCTATGTGGTGTAACTACCTTCGTCCCGACCACTCGGAACGAGGGGGGTTAGAGGTAAGGGAGCGCGCGCCGCTGGGTAACCCACGCGAGCGCAAACCGTACGGAAGGACTCGAAAAGAGGGAAGGCTCACGTGGCCGGTGACACGCAGCCGGTCGGTGGTGTTAGATCTGGACGGCCGGTCACGGGTTAGAAGCCTGAGACTTAGAGGTAAAACCGGACGGAGTTAGCAAAAAGCCGTAAAGGGAAGGGAGGCGAGTCTGCCCCCGTTTACTGGAACGGAGCAGGTGCCCCCGGTCTTAACCCCTAAGTGGGACGCCAGGACACCTGTCCCGCTACAGTAGCTGTTACTTACTGTATACCAGCTACTGTGCTAAATTGGCTAATTTGTGCCATTAACTACTAATTACTTACCGTTCGGATCCTACACGTGTAACCAGCGGGGTACTACTGTACTCCGCACCGGCCGTGTGCTGTAAATATAACTCCTTACAGTTCTTCTCGCGCTTACAGCCCATCGTACTGTATCCCGGGGCGGCAGCGGTGGCGCCGTTGCCTTCGCGCCGTTGTACTACAATCTACAGAACAAGATCCAATCTTGCACCGACGCGCTTCGTCATCTTCAGGATATTCCTGACGCCAGCATTCGGTTTCACCTCCATCGCGTCACCGGCTCTGTGTGTCGGATGGAACATACGTTCCGCTTGACACCCCCGATCTTGTCCCTCCCGCTTGCTGTGCGCTTTGACGAACTCCAACGCGCCACATACTCTCGCCTGAACGACGTTCCACTCTCGGCATCTATTTCTACTCAAATTGGCTTACCTCTTCGTATGGGAGGCCATGGCTTCACTCCACTATCCCCGTTTGTGCATGCGTTCTACGCCGCCAGCCTTCTAGAAGCCGCCCCGATCCGCGGTAAAGGTCCCGCTAACCCCTTGGTGCCCTTCTACCGCGGCATGGCACGCTGCCATCTCGTCCGAGTGCTCGCGTCCATCAACCCGGAAATACGCACTCGTGGCGTGCTATCAGCACACTCCCCCCTCGGCCCATTCGAGCCTGACGCCCTCCTGGACAGACCTGAACGCGTACACACGACATTATTTCAGGCTCTCCATGGCGCCTTCTCAAGGATGTACTGGGAAAAGTCTGCATGGTGTCGTGCACTGAGGGGGAAGGGGTGGGATCCCCCTCTGGCAGAGCGCGCGCGTTCGGGGGGCGCGTGTAGGGGGTTATCGGGAGACCACCCGTAAGGGACCGGTACGGGGCCGGGCGCGAAGCGCAGTAGGGAAAGTAAGGGAAAAAGTGGGAAAACAGAGCCCAGGAGGGGCGGAGCGGTAGGGACAGCTGTCGCGCGGAGAGCCGGGCGTGGCGGGACGACGCGCGCGGTAGAGACAGGAGGGAATCGGGACGTAGATGGCTCGCGGGGTACCGTCGTGGGACGGGGACCGACGCGAGGCTACGACTCCGTTCCAGAAACCCGAGTTGTAGACCCAAAGCTTCGTGAGGATTTACTTCGGGTCGGACGTCGGCTATATACTAGCCGACGTCGGAGCGATAATTAATTAAACTAAAATTACTAAATTGGACGACGGCGGCGATGGCCGGAGAAACTCCTCTTGGGGAGGTATGACAACCACTACACGTGGGGAATGACACGATTAACGTGAGGAATAACACGGGTACACGTGGATAGAACTGTCAGTATTTCGACAGGGCTCCATGGAGCTTACACCCGGACACGAGCGGGGGTTTGGATACACGGTTACACGTGGTACATACCTCACTTATGATAGTGAGGCATTCCGCGTGTGCTACAGTACAGCACAGCGATTACGCGGGGCGGTCAGTGCTCTACACATGGGATCGCCTCCCCAGCCCCTCCGACCACACACCCGTCTCCGTACGCCGCCGAGCGCGCTACAACTCCCTGTGCGCGCCAGGCGCCGCTTCCTTCTTGTGTGCTCATCCCGCCCTTACATAACGCGTCTCCAGTGAGGTGTGGTCATGTATGCTC